TATCTAACTCCTTTCTCGTCTCTTTCCACAACTTTTTCCATTTCTTCCCTTTTTCTCCTTTTCTCTCCCTCTCCTTTCTCCTATACACTCTCATTTTCGCTGCGGCGGTCATTGGTCCCCCACTCGCAGCCTTTTCCTCTTTGCCATCCCGTTTTCTTTTCTCTGATGTTCGTGCTTCACCTCTTCCATTACTAATTGTTTTCCATGGATTTTCTTCCTCTAACAGATGTATTTCATCAGCCGGGTATTTCCGTGGACTGGTTAGTAATTCATTCTGTGGGCATTCTTTTTCGATTGGATGGGCTGTAGGGCTTTGTGGATTGATGGGGTAATCTTCAACCTCTGCTGCAGTCGGAGTATGGGGTAACACATCTGGAAGTGGGGCCCCGACTTGACATATACCCGTCATCATCATCATCATTGTAGGTGTCATCTGGGTTGTTAAGTCCAGGTATTCATAACTCTCCAGTTCGCCAGAGATATTCGTTCCAGTCGTTTTCTTCTTCTGTTCCGAGACAGAACCAAGGCTCTCCTTGTTCAACAGCGTACTTAATGGTCCTTCCGTTGCATTCGACCTCATATATAGGGTACTCATTATCTGGTCGATTTCCTCCATAGAAAGGGCTACCGTAGTCAGATTGTTCATCTTCTCCAATCCATATGGTATATGGAGTGATTCCGTCGGAGTCGTCATCGCTGTTTCTGATGTCTGGCATTGGACTTCCTGGTATGCCTTCTGATTGACTGATGATGCAATCTCTTCTCCAAAGTCGTATTCCAGAATTTCCCATACATCCTGGTCTTCCACTTTCTTCGTCGCCTGCCCGGTCTGATTCATATCCATCCAATCTAGAAACGTCATCATGGGCTGGTCCATTCCGTCCAGGAAGTTCGGTGGTATTGGATCCCAGATCGTCTCCAATATGGCTGATGAATCTTCCGAATCCGTTAATGTATTGGAATTTGTGGTTGATGAAGTGAACTTGCTCGGGGATTGGGATGTCGTTTCCATTGCTGTTCATTACGATGTTGATGTTTGTTGTTGATGTTAGTAAGTGGTAGTGTTGTTGTAGTGTTTGCTTTAGATGAGGTTTGTTTGTCAAGATAGTTGTTCACTGTTGTGTATCTCGATTTGAAGATGAGTCATCGAAGGGGAGGCAGTCCCTGTTTATATAACTTTTTGGCCAAGCAGTTGTATACAGCGGTACTGGGTTACCTCGTTTAGCTTATCTCCCATTTAAGGTGTCTGGCGATTTCACTAAAGAGCCTCATGACTGTTTGTGCGCGCAGCGCTCAATTTGCCGTTGGTTCTTCGTCAACATCTGAGTCAGATCGTTACATCAGATTCTTCTAAACCTTCCATCTAGTTATTTTTAGCAGAGCTTGGCATCTCATTCCTTTCATTCCGTTGGTCATATGGCCTTATCAATGTATAACCAGTTTTCACCGTTAGATCTAGATTTCCTCATCTTTCTTGTCGCGTCTTGTCGCGAGTGACGGTTTTTTGGTGACAATACAAAGAGCTAAAAATAAACGGTAATACATGTGTAATTTCTGTCACCAATACTTATTTATGTATTCAGATTTATACAACTAGTAAAAAATAGAATACACAAAGTTAGTTAACCAAAATTTTTTTGACAATTCTATTACCAAGACTTTTACCATACGTGCGAAAATATGACTACCCACTACCACAAGAAAAACAGGTAATATTGTGACTCGGAGTGCTGGTAAGTAAGCCTAACTAGTTATTTAACGCTTAACGCAAAAAATAATGCAGTCTTATTCAAACATAAACTCTACTACCTGGATACGCTATAAACAAAAGCCTCCTTAATTATATATTAAATTTATTTACGTCATCAGATCTGGCACTTTATTGTGTACTATTGTTTATGAAACGTTTTATATTGTAATGGAAGAAGATATAATACATAAACGTACAGTCAATTGCCTTTAATTCGACCCCCTTTAATTCGATTTCGCCGATAATTCGATCGCTTGAGCAAGACCCGAAAAATATTTTTATTATTGTTTTCCTTAAGTACGTCTGCCGTTAATTCGACTTATACGTTAATTCGACCGATGACTCCGGAACGGAGGCGGTCGAATTAAAGGCAGTTGACTGTATACGTTTTACGTTTGTACGCCTTTTCGCTAGCACTACATTGAATACATTTTGTGTTCACATTTTAATTATGATAAGATGAGGCAGCGTCAAAACATTACATATCTTTAACGACTTCGGTATCGTGTGCAGTAGTTCTCAAAGTCGTTGTAAATAAGGGTGGGACCTTGTAATTTTAGCTTTAGACAATAACTTATAAGCGTTTACAAACAAACGAATAAAACAAACTTACTTTCAGGTTTGTACTTGTGACAAAGCAAGTGCGTGCGATACTAATGTCAATGTAACCATCGTAATTGTACGTTGTGCAACAAATAAATACTTCTTAGTCCAGATCGGTGGGTTCTATGTACGTATTACTCGATAAGTTTATGGTTAGGTCACACATGAATAGTATCGACCATAATTCAAATTTGTCTTTATAATAACTTAAACATATTTAATATTATTTCATAGGTTGATAAAATATACAGTATAAGTATAATAGAGCATGCGCTTGTTTAACAACACTCGCGCGTTAACAATATATGGCATGTGTGTTATCAGGATAACGATACTGGTTATAATCAATCATTTTTACGCCATTTGGAAACGTTTCCATTTTCAAGTTACGTTCCATACCCTCGAACTTTTCTTCCGAATATAGACAAACCCAATAAAGACGTACGTCAGACTAAAATAGAGTTATCTTAGAATAATCGAATACATGATATACTAATATGACGAACAAATAAATCGTACCTTGCTGATAGCAAACTTTATAATAATATCATCTTCAGACCAAACATCAATCGTACATGGCATAACGTACTCGGTATCGTCGTAGTAATTACGTTCAATGTATGTATTATAGTGTATCTCTTCAGTTGATGTTTTTATCTACAATTCAAATAGTTATATTATCATACAACTAAGACTGTAACAAACAGTACTTATCTAATACTTACTATAATCGTAATGGTTGTCAACGTCCGGTAATTCCTCAACAAAAAGCCAAGTCTGTATTTATTTGGTGGTACTTGGAATATGGGTATTGTTACCTGATACATAATACATACATTTTAGTCAACGTTCACATCATAATACAAAACATTAGGCATATTGACAACAAATGCTTACACTATTAGATCCATCAATGTACAAATACCCTTCATGGCTATTAATATTAAATAGTTAATGTTAGAATAGGCACAATTACAAACAACGGTTCTTATAATTACTTACTCGCAGCATTCACTATTATCTTCAATATGGCTTTCATGCACAAAATGTGCTTTCAGATAAGCTAATGACAATATAAATGTTAAAATTTAATATAAAACTTGTAAAATTTAATGCCAGTCAAGCATACCACATACTTTTATGCATGTAATAAATTTTTTCAAAAAATGCGTTTACACGTTGATAATTATACCGAGCATTGTTATATTCATAATGCCAAGTTACTGCAGTGTTGTACCATCTGATGTAATGATCTGCTCTATGCTGATGATCACACAGTGATTTCCAGTGATCAATATTATCTAGCTTCTCCATTGCACCAAGAGAGTAACTATCCACGAGAATCTTGAACCATTCCACATCAAAGAATTCAGGCTTGTTTACCAATTCATAAATCATATCAAATGCCTTTTTTTGCAAAGATAGGTGTCTAATATGCCCAATAGTTTGTTCAACATCTTTCTTATTCTCCAAACCCACATGTGTCATCAAGCTTAAAAACCAAGCATCATTATAAACCTTGTTTGCTTCAATTGCAGACCCAATATCAAACAAGGCTTTCACAAAATTTTTCATATCCAACTTGATTTTGGCTCTATTACACAATGCAACATAATTGGTGGGATCAGCTCGTAATATTTGGGTATAGATGTTTATGGCCTTTTCCAACTTCTTCTTCTCATATGCCGTTTTAGCTTTTTGAAATAATTTGTCCAGATTTGGTACTGTTAATGATCTCCAGATTGAATTCCAAGTAGCTTCAAAATCAGGCCTTCTTTTATTCTTTCTTTTTTGTTTTTTAATATCATTATATCCATCAAATAGTTTGCCATTTGCATTGCTTGCAATATGCGCAGTGTAAACATCCTGATCATCAGTATCTGTAATGTAATGTTGAACATTATTGAATATGGTTTGTTGTGGCAAATAGTATACTTTATCCTTTTTAATTTCATGTCTGCAATAAGGGCACTCTAGGGTGTTTAATGACAAGAAAGCCTTTGAGCTAAGAAGATGTTGGCAATTAAGCTGATAGAAATCACCAACTGTTTCACAAATAATAGCACATGTTAGATCTTCTGCAATATAGTCAATCGGATTTTTCTCAACATTTTTTCCTTTTCCTTTCCCTTTGCCTTGTTGCTTCACATCTTGATCATTTGTCATTGTTTGATCTGTTGAGTATTGTAAAATCATTTTTGATTCAACTTCTAATTTCTCTTTCAGGTAACAATACATGCTAACCATTCTTGGTATATATTTCTCATCACAGCCAAAGCCAGCAATATCATCAGCTGTTGTAACAAATATTTCATCATTCTTGGCTTCAAGGCTTAATAATATTTCAATGGATTTGAATTGAATAGTTTCAGTGATAGCATTATTCAATGAGTCTAATGCCATGTAATAACAAATAGCTTGTGTGGTTGTAGACATTGTTTTCTGCACAAGTTTCTGGATAATATCCAAGATGCCAAACCAGAGCTCATCACTCACATCCTGATTTACTGCAGCATCTTCTGCATAGCATAAACTGATATGATACCAAAGATATTCAAGAAGCACTCTTTCTTTAAAGCTCACTGAAATAGCAGACTCTTGCTCATGCCATTTGTCAAGACTGTCTTGTAACATTATCAGCTGTCTCCAGGTCACATACCATGGTTTGCCTAATGCTTCAACATGAACTGCTTCTTTGAAAAACTTCCAGGATCTCTCTATATCAAAATTACAAAAAGAAACTTCAACTTCAGTAATATCAGCTCTAGCTAATCCAGGAACTGCAACAAGTGAGCCTTTTAATGCTGTAATTGCTTGATCAACATTTGTCTGATACTGGTTTCTGTAATCACAAACAAAGTCTAATGTATTCTTGATAAGTTTGAGAAGGTATTTGTTATCGTAATTATTAAAGCTTTTGGTAGCTTTGGCTGATTCATCTTTAGGCTTCCAAGTTTCTGCTCCATGCCGCACAATCTTTGAATGCACATCCTTGTACTTGGAAGTGGCTTGTCTAATACAATCAACAAAAGACCGTGTAAATTGACAGTCCTTTTGACACATCAGCTCCAGGATAGTTACAATTATTCGTAGTTGCCATTCCAATTTAATAGTTGTTTCTTCCGAAAACGCTTCATCAAACTCTTGAGAACATAGACTCTTCACAGCTGTGTCCAACATATCCATTGACACAAAATCTCCTTTATGTTCGAGGATGTATTTGAGCGTATAAATATTCTGAGAATATTTCAAGCCTGTTAATAATTCCTCTATTTGCTCATCCGCTGATGTAAGGCCTCGTTCCATGAGTTGAAGCATGACGTTAGGACAACTGTCTTGATCTACAGTGTTGCTCGTTGAAGAACCGCTCGGAGCACTTATTGCGGGAAAATCATCTGATACATAGCCGGTTGTAGAACTCGTCGAATCAGTTGTAAAACTTTCAGTTTTCTACAAAGTGTAATAATTAACATTAATAAATAGGCGAATATTATATATAGCCCATGTTTGCTTCCCTATACCTT